TGTAATCGTGGAACAACATGGCATTTTGAAGAACTGTAAGAGTTTTTTGAAATTTTACCATACACTCTACTAGTAAAATGTATACTTAATATAATTACTGGTAGAATGTGTGACAAAATTTTAAACAATTCTCATAAACTGCTTTAAAACGCCATATTGCCCCACGATTACATGATATTCAGAATAAATTTAAATAATTTATTTAAAAAATAATTATTTAATTTTTTAAATATTTGTTTATCTCAAAAATAAATGTTCAGTTATTTTAACTGTCTCAAAATTAATATTAAAATTTCTGAAACAGTAATTACACAGGTATCTTATTCTCATCGCAAAACAGATATTTAGCAAAATACATCACGTCTAAATCGAATGTTAATCGTACATTGCAAAGAAAGCTATTTAAAAAAGTAACTGCATAATTTTCGAAGGCGGTATATTCTGTTATTTCAAAAAATTAATCAAGTATATCTAAAAAAAATTACACCTTACAGTTATCGAACCCTACATTGCAAGTACTCAGATACTTTATAAGATTACCCAATTAATTGCCCAAAAAACTATGTAAAATACATGTCTTCCAAACTTTTCAGGTACAAACGAGCCAGGCCTTTCCCTCAGAACGGAAGCTCGGTCCCTCAATTTCCCGAAAGAGAAACGTATGCGAAGATTCCGCTCCTACGAAAAAGCTCGCGTGTCGATTGGCCAACAGCCATGCGAATAACCAATTAGCTTGCAACTCTTCTGCAAGAGCGGAATCTTACGTGTCTCTTTCGAATAAATTCAAGGATCAAGTTCCAGGCCGTCCGAACGGAAAACAGACGAATGACGCCGCGAACAATAGGTTAGATAACAAATAAGTAACGGAAACATACCCCAGGGTTGCTCCTCCGGCGCCCGACGCCTCCCCGGGCCTCCTCCTCCTCCTCCTCTTCTTCTCCGGGTTAGCTTCCACCGTTCCAGCCGGTGGTAGCACAACACTCGCGAAAATAGGGTTAATTACACTCGCGCGCGCGCGCGCTAATCAGCAGTATGCGACGATCGCGCACTTTGCACGGCACTCCCGACATTAATCGCACGCGACGTGCACTTTATCACTTGACGACGGCGGGCGGGCCCGCGAGGCGAGGGAAGAAAGGCCACGCGAGAGAGTTTTAAACGCAGAGTTTATTACGACCGTGTACTTATCGTCCGTCCCGACGCAGTACGAGATCGCGGGGCAGAGAAAGGGCAAGAGGAATACTTTCGTCACGTTCGAGGCAACAGCCTGACCGCGGCCTACAATACGCGGTAACCGTCGAAAACAGCGCTGCCAACTTCGCCACCCCGCGAGGCGGCGCGCAAGATCGATTCCTCTAGGAATCCTCCAGGAACAGGGGGAAGGGGGGTCGAGTCTGTATCTTAGGCCGATGGCAGAGAACGATCCGTAAACGCTTAAAGCCTCCGCTACAATGATTCTCGGTTCTGTCTACAATGGTCGTAGTCGTAAGAATAATCGA